CTATCACAGTGAAGCATCTCCATTAGAACATATGTTTCCTTGTGTATTAGGGCCCCTTCCTATTTAAATCGTATTTGTAGAATTCTTTTGTGATTATCATTCGTCCATCTTCAAGACTGCTTAAAGCCATAAAGAAAATTTTTCTGGAGTAAATTTCTTGTGGTTCTTGACAAAACAAGGTTCACCGAAAAGCGACCTCCATCGTTTACATACCAATTTGAAACAACACAAAGCTCCACATGACATTCTAATTCATATTTCATCGGTCAAGTCGAAGTCGAATGGATGACCAATCCAATTCTCTTTCTTGCTAGTCATCATCGCTAGAGACTACCAAGAAGAAACAAGATTGAGAGAACTATTCAAGAAAAAGATAAATATGCTTCTCTTTTTTTACATTGTTTTTCGATTTGAACATCCGAACCAAAGGAACAACCCAATTTCTCATGTTTGAGATAGAGACTCGTGCAAAAAAAATTCTAGATTTATTGTGGAAATTGTAAAATACAATTATAAAAGTAGTTACCTAAACAATTTCCATTGAGTTACACTTTTTTGTCCATAAAAGTATGTATGTGTTTATGGTTATTACAATTATTATAGATTCGTTTTTATAATATTATTCTGAAAAAAAATGCATATTTAATGTGTTGTTGATACTTGATGTGTATACCAATTTTTTAATGTAAATGAAGAGTCTTATTGAATGTTGTAGAAAAAGCACATGAAATTTAAAGATGAAGATAAAGAAACTAACAAAATATGGTTTGTATGAGTGGTTAGTAATGTCATTTGGTTAAACTAATATAAGAAGCACTTTAATTAATGTGGTTCATAAATCATGTTTTGAGAGTTTTCCAACTCAAAAGAACTATCTTTATAAATATTGAAATCTATTCGTCAAGATCTGATGATACAATATAGGATACATAATCGGTTAAATCTGACCATTTTTTTAAATTTTTTTATTTATGTATTAATTTATTTCTTAGTATTATTAATTAATTCATTAACCAATTAATTAAAAATATTGTATTATTACAATCAACCCATTAACACTGATCTTATTATGGAACAAAACAAGTTTGTTGCTATTTGTGTTATGAATAGTTGATGATTCGCATAATAATTCAAAAGTTTCAAATTTGAGAAAATTGTAAAGTATAGTTGTAGAAGTAGCCATCCATTTAGTTATTACTTTTTAAGAAAAATTAAAAAAATCATCAACTATCTTATTTTTACATAAAAATATTTATATTTTGAATTTATTATAAAAACTCATCAATTATTAATTTTAAACAAAATAAACCATCAACCATTTATTTTATTCTAAAATAATATTTCATTATAAATTTATAATAAAAATTATCGACTACTAATTTTAATACAAGAAACCATCAAGTATGTAAATTACTCAAAAAAAAATTATATTCAATCTATTATAAAAAAAATATTAAAATTTTGAATTAAAAAACATATATGATAACACATATAATTAAATTTTATTATATTTAAAATTAAATTGATTGTAAATATTATTTTTAAAACGTTGTCATATATTAATATTTGAGATATTCTGAATTATCAATTTCATTTTCATAACAGATTTAATAATTAAAGTATTATATAGTATATAATTTAAGTATAAATTAATTATATAAGAGATAATACACATTTTCTAAACTAAAATAAAAATATAGTATTTTTTTATGAAAATATCGTATAAATTGATGAAATATGTAAAATAGAGGTTGTTCGTATATTAGATATTTGATTTTAAAAAAAAAATATATAGATTTCTATAGCAATTTTAAAGTAAAATACTTTTGGAGTAATTTAGATAGTAGATGAATGTTTTTATTAAAATTAATAGTTGATGGTTTTTATAATAAATTTAAAGTGAAAATTGTTTTTGAATAAATTATATTGTTGATTATTTTTTGTTAAATTTAGTCGTTGATAGATTTTATAAAAGGTTTAAATATAAGTTTGTTTTATAAATTAATAAGATAGCTGTAGGTTTTTTTAACCACGCAATGTAAAGTCATAAATGTAGATAGATATATGGCGGAGAATAACGATGACAGGATATTGATTTAATCAATAGACAATCAATTCATTTAGCTGCATTGCATGAGCAAAACACACAATACTTTCATATCATACCTTTGTAAAAAGGATTATCTCTCTCCATAAACAGAACCCATGATGAAAACTTCATTATTGAATTATGTTCCATTTTTTATAAACTATAAAAAAAAATTAAAAGCTCAAGATTCACACGCGAGTTATATAAAAAGGTCATATAACAATAGCTTTGGATTCTGCATCAAACCTTGACATTGCAAACAATAGATGAATTTCAAAAAATTAATGTCTATGTAAAGTAGTTTTTTTAAAAAAAATTGAAACCCTAAAATCTCAGAATGAATTAACCTCTATATAATGGATTACATAATCTACATAATCCAAATAATAAATTAAAATTATGCGTCTCGTCTAATGGGCCTCGTGGGCTCGAATACGGCGTTGTAGAGTGCGATGCAAAAGTGTGTGATTGGGATGAAAGCGGTGAGACTATGTGCATTCGACGCCAAAAGGAAATGTTTTCACAAAGTTCGATTTGGATTACCCATTGAAAATGAGCTTGAGGGTCCGTATCCATACAAGGAATCGCTCGTTTCCAATGGTTTCCTGTAGTCGTTGCATTGTTATCAATATATTATATGATGAGGTTATGGAATGATAAATGGAGGTCCAAATTAAGGTCCTAACAAAATATGTTATGTTATTTCATCCATTGCGTTCATTTCGAGTTCCTTAGTCATGTCGGCCTAAAAGTAACAAATGCGTTCACATCGTGGTGGAAGTGGTCACATTCATCCACACCACCATCAACGTAAACATAAATTTTCATTAACTAAAAGCGCGTATATGGAGAGATTTCACGCGAATATAATGGGATATATACACCAAATATACTGTGATAGATCTACCGAGATTTACTCCTTAGACAAATAGGGTTTGTTACACAGTCTTGTACATAATAAAAGAGGCCGCAGCCATTGGCGATACACGAAACATATTTTCCCAAGTCTGATGCTTTGTATCAAAATATGATAATTGACGGTCCAAAATTATCCAAATATAGCAAATTTCTTCCAATCAATAAACACACACATATATATATATATATATGTATGTATATATCGTATTATATTACCATGAGATAAATCATATTTTGTATGAACTACCCACTCCACTACAACAAATGAAATTGCGGTAACACAAGAGTTTGATTCGAATATAATATTATGTATCGGCATGATCGTGCGCTAACAACGTGCAGTGACGGTCTGGATGTATCTGTGGCGGAGAATCTCGACCACGTTCCTATGTCACATGACGGGTTTTATCTCTCAAATAAAAAAAAAATGTGTAATCGATCCTCGCCTGTCGGGAATGCGGGCCTGCAAAAGCATGTTGTTCGACAAACTCGGGACACACTATTTAATGTCTTCTTTAATCGTTTTCATAAAAAAAAAAAATATCCTCAACTACGAGATAGCTACATAAATTCTCTCTCTCTATATATATATATATATATATATATCAAATATTTCAAACTTTTATATAGATATATAAATTTCAAGATATTATCAAATTCCTATTAGAATATTGAAAATTTATGAGTGCTGCGATATCGATATTTTGTATTATAATTCAATATTTATATTTTGAAGTTTCGATAAAAATATAATATATTTTTTAGCATTATTAACGTTTTATCTAAAATAATTCCGGTGAAAATTTGATAATGTCTCAAAAGTTCGTTTATTTATGTATACTTTGAATATATTATGAATTTATATTTACGTGGGAACAAAATTATGTATTTATTTGAAAATTTGACAATTTTTGACTTATTGTTTTATGTTTTTAGTAGATATGCAATCAATTAACCTAAATATTAGTGTTTTAATTCATGTTTATCATATTCTTCGAAAAATAATTCGATTCATCTTTTTGACAAATGTGAAACCATTCACGACTTTCTTTGTTCACTTATATTATTAAATAAAATGTAAAGGAAACCGTAGGGGGAAAAAGAAAACCCTTTATTATTTGTTTTGATCGACAATTATGGACCCACCCGGAAAAAAAAAGGTTACAAATAATCAGTATTTTTTACGCTTCAACTTTTCAAGAACACAAAATAAAAACGTAACAATAATAAATTAAAACCCCACCGTCCAGCTACTCTCTTTTGGACCGCAGTAGTGAAAACAGTGCGGGTCATGTCGGTAGCCAAATGCCATTAATTCACAGAACTATACATGTAAATGTTGAAATTTATAGTTTTTAAATTACATATATATTTTAATTGAAATAAGTAAATTGGTATTTAGCTTAAATCTATTTGAATATGGACGGGATGGTTTTGTATGTATCTAGTGTTAGATTTGGCACGTTATAGTGCATTCCCCGCTATCCATTTCCTTATCCTATGGCTTGATTGGCGTAATTCCATTCCGTCCTCTTATTAATTTAGCGAATTTCAATAACAATGACGTGCAAAACAAGACAAATAAATACGTTCATTTTTCTCCTATAATATTGTATCTAATTTTGTATATTCGTCTCTACGTGCATGCGTGTATATCAGTATATGTGACCGCGGATATATACGAAGACATCGGTCTCGTGTATTTTCATCCATTGAATTGAAAACTGATATATATTATGATCATTAATCTCACTTGGACTCTCCTTTTGAAGAATATTTTTGCGTTCCCATGTGTTTATAACATATACCTAACTTTAAATGACAGTTATAATTAATATTTCTACGTAAAACATTCAAATTCAAATTTCAAATTCAGCCCAATATAAAAGTCTTCATTTTTTAGATATGAAATAATTTCGGTATTTTCCAACTCATATTAATCCTTTTAATAAAAAAAAACTCCACTATAAATAACGAATCCCATCTCTTTTCTCCACTATCTTTCATACCCATCACTCTTCTTTTTCCTCTTCTTCTTTGTATCACCTCTCAAAACTAAACATGCCAAAGCAAAATCACGCTTCCCTTCTACTTCTCTTCATCTCATTCGTCGCCTTCTCCACCGCAACCGCAAACGCAGGAGTTGGAACGTCAAAAACGGCGGTGAATTTCATACAAGCCTCTTGCAAAGCCACGACTTACCCTGCCCAATGCGTCCGCTCGCTCTCCGTCTACGCAAACGCCATCCAAACAAGCCCCCAACGCCTGGCCGAGACCGCCTTAACCCTCAGCCTTAACCGGGCCCTCTCTACCAAGACCTTCGTCTCCCGGTTGACCCGGTTCAAGGGCATTAAGCCACGTCAGTACCAAGCGATCAAGGACTGTGTGGAGGAGATCGGCGACACCGTTGACCGTTTGACAAAGTCGGTCCAAGAGTTCAAGCTCTGTAACAGAGCAAGAGGTGGGAATAGTTTCTGGTACCATATGAGCAACGTTCAGACATGGACGAGTGCTGCTTTGACCGATGAGACCACTTGCTCCGATGGGTTCGCCGGTCGGGTCATGGACGGCCGGATCAAGAGCTCGGTCCGCGCACAGATCGTCAACATGGGCCGAGAAACTAGCAATGCTTTGGCTTTGATTAATCACTTTGCTTCCAAAAAACACTAAGACTGTGATTATATGTTAGGTTTTGTATCCAGATATATATGTGTGTGTTTTGCTACGGTTTTGTTGTGAAATCTATATACCCCTTTTATCGTGGTTTTCATGTCTGATCGGGTGCGTATATAAACTGTTGAAGTTTAGGTAACCTTAATAGTGTGGGGTTTTGCGAAATTTAAAGCTTTTAGGATGCCGCATGTCCAAAATTTTACAATCAAATCTCTAGTAATGTATAAATTTCAATGTTTTTGTTATATAAAGGCGGATTATACGAGTGTGAATCTGAATTGGTGTCACTAAAAAGATCTCAGAGCGCGTGGCCTCTAACGTCGATTCCCTGAAAGCGGACATACGATCAAGTGGAGGAAAGTAATTGGGCACGCATTTTAATGCCATTAACTCTGTTTGTCTTCAATTAAGAACCAAAGTTGTAGAAAATTAGGATCACGGTTATGATGACGTCTATAAAGATTTTTGTCTTGATTCTTTTTTTTTTTAACGTATGTTTCCAGATAATTCTTTTAAATAATTTAAGATTTTGTTTTTGCAAATTGCAAACAGTTGAATGATTCGTTTTAGTTCGTCTAAAATTGTATAATGTTCGATTATAGGACAAATTTAAACTAAGATTAATCAGTGATTGTTGAAAACGAATTCTTCAAGGCGAAATCGCGACTTTTTCGTTCAAACGGTCAAAAATGGAATGAAATATCAAGTGGAAAGAAATCTCTCTAGATATACATATATATGAATGTGGGGTATGATTGTATATTAATCCACGTATCATCCGTTACAAGCATGTGGGATTAGACGACTTTTGGAGCAATTTAGGCCCATTAATTACGCCGGCGAACATGCACATTCTTAACTGTTTGGTCACGGTGTTTCAATGAATTGTTTAATCGCTTCGACTATATGCTGCATGTACACAAACAGCATGTGCATGTACATGAACATATACACGTATGACGTATCCTTACATAAACATGATGGGTCTCGTTTTTTCTCTATATAGATTTTGACTCGTCGTTATATAAAAAAGATTTGATCCAATCGATATTAATTAGTTAGATTGCGTATGACGTATCTGTAGTAGATTATTTTATGAAATTTTAACCTTTTCAAGAGTTTGTTCATCAAAGTAATATATGAAGGCATAAAACTTTATAATAATAATAAAAAAGGCTTTAGAAGATACAACGAATTGTATGAAAGGTTATACCGCCCATCATTTATCGATTTTTTAGGTGTTGAATGGAGAGTGATTTTGAGAAGTTTTGGATTTTAAAAAATGAAAAAAACTAATGATCAAGTTTTTAAAATTTTGATTTTCCGAAAAACTCGGAAATCTACTTTATAAAAAAAAATCAACTAAAAACCAAAAGCCACAATTTTTTAGATTTACAAACTTATGAAATACAAAAGCCAAAAACTAAAAACTAAAAACCAAAACCCAAAAACCAAAAACCAAAAACCCAAAATAAAAACCAATACTTAATTTTTTTTTTTTTTTTATTTGTCTGATGGTAAGATTTGAATGGAGGGGCATTGGATTCCAATCTAGCTTTCACATCAACATGAATAAAATTACAAAAGCTTTTCCAACCTAAAAAGGTATAAAACATTTTCTTTTTTCTTTATAATTATTTCATTGAATTTATAAAAGATAAATAACATGTGTATATAAAGAAATTGTGAGAACCAAGATATTTGTAGTCGGTACGAGAAAGGGCCCTCTTGAGGCCCCTCGAGTCTAAAGGCATTGCCCACAATAACGGCCATTTTAGCTTATATAGGGAATTTTATTCAAAAGATAGCTTAGAAATATCGCCACTCACATTGAAGCTTAATGTTATAATATTTCTTGGTGGTTATCCCGAATTCATCATTTTGCAATTTTTGAAAAAGTTTGATAATGACCGTAGCACATGCAGTTGCCTCAATTATTAGAGGATATGGACCTATATCAAGTTTGATAATGACCATTTTTATTTTATTTTATTTATTGCTGTCCATAACAATAATTAATATATTTCCATAATTCCATGCATCCAACGGATTGGTTCAATATGAAATTTGTTATGCCTCGTTCTAATGTCAAAGACGAAACATCTTTTAATTTGTTAACCATGCGACTGCTTTCTTGTTTTTGTTAATTGGCGGCCGAAGCCCCGATTTACCACAAATAAAAACTGGCCGGCTTAAAATCTGGAAAAATGGCCATTCTTTTTATTTTCCCATAATTTCTTTCAAAATCACATTTTATTGTGTGTGTGTGTATATAGATATAGTTCTGAAATGTATATTATTATGCCATTCTACTTAGACAGACACGTTGGAAGAAAGTGTCGAAGATATTTATCGTCATCGAGATATTTTATAATTGAAACAAATCATGATGATGATGATGATGATGGTAATGAATCGATGATGATGATGATGATGATAGAAAGTTGGAAGAAAGGGTCGAAGATATTTCTCGTCATCCGATATATTTTACGAACAAATAGATGATGATAATAATAATAATAATAATAATAATAATAATAATAATAATAATAATAATAATAATAATAATGATGATGATGATGATGATGATGATGATAATAATAATAATGATGATGATGATGATGATGATGATGATAATGAAGATTGTTCCGTATCAAAAAAATCCATGTTTCTGAATTACAAACGGTTCGTTAGTGAAAGCAAATATCTGGTTATGTCCATAAATTATAAGCAGCCATATCAGATTCACGATGAATTTAATGTTTGATTATTCCAACGTATATCATCCGCAGGGTCCAATTAATTTGTTTGTTAGGTACCAACACCACTAATCAACTTTTGATTAGATTAGGTGTGAAGCCCAAGCCAAGCAATGCATGGATTTTTATTTATCATGAATTTTAGAATAATGTCCAATAAATTTATTTTATAAGAATATATTTAAAAAAATGTATTTCTTAATTTCATATTTTTTTTGTTTGTCTATGATTTTTTCGAAGTAATATCATTTTCAAACCAATGATATACAAACAAAATTTAAAACTTAAATATATCCACCATGATATTTTAGTTATATATTATTCTTAACATATTTTCGGTAAAATTCATAAATTAAATTGCAATTGATTTATTCTGAATTTGGGTTTAAGCTAAAAAGTTGTTTTAAATCAAATAAATCTAGATATAGTCAATTTTATTGTCAAAGTGCACTTAGTTCAACTTCAATTATAAACGAATTCAGAGTATAAAATAGTAAATCAAAATAAAATTGAAATAGCTATGATTTTATTAGATTAGATTTTTCCTATTTTGTTCAATTTATTTTTTTATCGTTTATATTGAGATTAAATATTGCATGTTTGTAAATAGAATAACTTTAAACGTAAACAATTAGTATAACATGCATATAATTAAGGGACAAAATAAGATAATATTCTATTTCAAATCACTAATTTCACCTCCAATGATTATGTTTCGATTTAAACAAAGATATTAATCAATATGGCCCCCTCAGACAATCTTGAATATTTGTCGTATCAGTGTATCACTAATATATGATTGTAGATTCAATGCTCCTTTCCTAAATATCTCAATAACAAGTTTCCCACATGCAACACCACTTGCATAATTTAAAATTCATAACCCTTTCCGTATAAAAACCCTAGCCCCTCTCCACACATTTGCCACAATTAGACACAAGAATTTAAATTCATTCGCCACATTCACAAAATATCCACAATGGCTCACTCTTACGTATCTCATCATCACTTCCTCGCCTCGCTTCTCTTAACCCTAACCACCTTGAGCTTTGTAAGGACGACATATCCCCAGACCAACACAGAGTTCATAAGATCATCGTGCAGCGTCACGACATACCCAAGGCTATGTTTTACGTCGCTCTCGAGCCATGCAACCTTCATCCAAACGAGCCCCAAGCTCATGGCTCACGCCGCTCTGAACGTGAGCCTCTCCTCGGCCAAGTCCACGTCAGCAATGATGACTCGTCTCTCGAGGAGCCATGGGATCAAGCCGCTGGAGGCCTCGGCGGTCAGAGACTGCGTGGAGGAGCTCAGCAACACGGTGGACGAGCTGAGGAGTTCGGTGGGGGAGATGGATCGGCTCAGGGGCTCGAACTATGAGGTATACATGAGCGACATCGAGACTTGGGTCAGTGCGGCTCTCACGGACGAGAACACTTGCACGGATGGGTTCGAAGGTAGTGCCATGGATGGGAAGGTGAAGGTTCTCGTGAGAGAGAGGATTCTGGCGATTGCTCGCTTGACCAGTAATGCTTTGGCTTTGATCAATCATTTTGCTTCTCTCCATGGTTAATTAAGATTATTACACAGTGATTATGGTTTTATATGTTTGTGTATATGTGTACGTATATGTGTGTACGAAGTGTATGTACGAGCGTCCGAAACATATGTAGTACCACGTAGTATTTATTTTTGGTATATGTTTTTTTTATAAAAAAATTGGTCTCCAAATGGGCATGTGAGATTGTGAATTCTTCTTACTATATGACAACCCGAATTCATGATTTTAGGGGTACCGCGATGGTATTGGTGACATTTAAATCGAATATGATATGGCATGCGAATCATGGCTCGTTACGTCGAGATTTATTAGCAGCGTGACCATATACAAATAAAGTCGGGACTTCTACAAAGGACAAGCCACGTGAAGAAAAATACTGAAGACGCACTAAATGTATGTCCCTTTCTCGCACTTTTGTCAAACGGCAGACCATCTGCCTTTTAGCAACAGTTGTGAAATGCATAATAGGCACTCTCACTCCTCCTCTTCAAGAGCTCCAAGAGGATATATATATATATAGAGAATATTCACGTTTTTTTTTTATGATCACATAGTATAATTCACGATTTATGTGATGGATGTCTATATATCTATGTGTATCTATATATATGTATGTATGTATGGAGCCTGGTGATTGTCACGGCGATACTTGCATGATTCTGGTGATTATAGCGGTTGCTTAAAGTCATATGTAACATTTTTTTTGCCGGATTCTTGGTTTTTTTTGTTGTGTGATATTCTCGTCTTAAACGTTGGGCCAAATTGTTGAAAGGGAAACTCTTGGGCCAAATTTCATGATGGTCCAAACATTTGGGCTATGTTTTAGATTATCATTATCCAAGCCCATGTACTCAAAAAAAATGCGAACCTAATTCAATTTCATCTCTCTTTACGATTAAAATGTCCAGGATTATATATATTACGGAAAAACTTGATTTTATAATTTTGTCACTCAAAAATGGTAAGCATATAGCAGTTAAAAGCGTAATTTACAATGTTATATTGATGAGATTGATATGCCTTTCAAGTGTTATATTAAAGGAGCAGTAAAATTGAAATCAACTCAACAAAGAGCAGAAATAAAAACCATATGAATCAATAGCAATATTGTGTGTGTGTGTGTATATATATTATGGGTCAAATCTTAGTTTATATATATATAAAGACTAATATTGTTTTACGAATTGTTACACAATATTTTAGTGTCATAAGCAGTGCAGAATTTCATTTTTATCGATAACTGCAATCCAATTTATACACCTACGATACGATCTAACATGTATATACACATATAATGTCTTAAAAGGAAAAATGGTAATCCTAAATAAAATCTTGTAATGAAGTTGGACTAAAAAATATTTAAAAGTAAATGTATACTAAAAAAGATGATTTAATAGAGTTGGCGTATGCTTTAAACTAATGGAGTAGAAAAACTGAAAGAAGCACATGGACGTTACTTTGGCATAGGAATACCATGCCACCTTCTTCCTTATAAGGCACTTTTCCTCCATTTATTTTTACATGAACTATTTTTTAATATATATATAACTAAAAAATATTTAAAAGTAAATGTATACTAAAAAAGATGATTTAATAGAGTTGGCGTATGCTTTAAACTAATGGAGTAGAAAAACTGAAAGAAGCACATGGACGTTACTTTGGCATAGGAATACCATGCCACCTTCTTCCTTATAAGGCACTTTTCCTCCATTTATTTTTACATGAACTATTTTTTAATATATATATATAACAAAAACATAAATTTATATATTTAAATACATAAATAATACCATGATGATATTACTTTTAAAAAAATTTAACGAACCTCTCTATACAGATGCTTGACATTGGCAGAGGATGCCGAATATATAATATATGATATGATATGATATGATGGCATACCATTCTAAGCAAAGACAACACACATCATGTTCTTGCCAATGCATACGCTCAAAAATTCAGAAAAAATGGTTATACCATGAAACTTATATTAATTAACAAATCAAACAAAGTCCCATTTAATGATTCAATGACATGCCAAATTCCCCATACACAAACAATCCCAGGAACCACGAAATGGCCACGGGAATAATTTTGATGTTCCAGATTCTCCTATCTTTCTCCGCCGCCGCCGCCTCCGTCTCACCACCGGAAAATTCTCCCTCCGCCGTGCCACCGGTAAATGTCAACCCCATACCGCCTCCAGCCGCCAATCCGGCTCTACCTCCAAATTTCACTACTGCACCGCCGCCCATCGCAACCGCGGATCCACCGCAAAATGTCAACTCCGGTCCACCGCCTAACGCCACGGCCTGCCCACCTTCTCACGTCACTGGCGTGGTGGTGCGACAAGACCCCGCACCCGGAGCCATGCAAATACTACTTCAAGAAGAGCCCACGACCTCACAAGCCACCACCGAGATTCCGGTCGGAGTTCCGGCGAAGACTGGTGGAGCTGGCACTGGACCACGCTGAGACCACACAGTCTCAAACCGTGAGGTTTGGGCCCAGCTGCACCAACAAGCGCAGCCGAGCCGCCTGGTCCGACTGCGTCAAGCTCTATGACGACACCGTGGTTCAGCTCAACCGTACGCTTCGAGGGCTGGACTCAACCGCGCCAGCTGACGTCAGATGTACGGACTTCGACGCGCAGACGTGGCTCAGCACGGCCCAGACGAATATCGACACGTGTCGGTTGGGTTCGGAGGATCTGAACGTGTCGGACTTTGTCCTGCCGGCGATTTCTAACAAGAACCTGTCGGATTTGATCAGTAATTGTTTGGCGGTCAATGGGGCCCTCATGAAGCAACATAGTAATCGTACGACTGGTACGTATTCGTAATCACTGGGGAATTTTTTTTACTTCTGCCAACATTAATCTATTGAATTATCATTTTTACGGTTATAAATAAATAACATAACGTTAATTCTTCTTGAAGAAAATATATTTGAATTAATTAAATCGATTCAACCTAGAACTCGCGGTGACGACTTACGACGCATTATGATGCTATATGTTTTTCTGACGTTTAACGTACGTATAATTAAGTAAATTTAACATTTAAAGAAACTTCTAAAGCTTTGTGAAAAAAAAAACAATTTAGATAAAATTCAATACAGATTGGATATATAAAATAAGTTGTATTGTATAGTTAGGATACATATAGACTACATACGACAACGTTTTCTGTGTTTTTTTTAACCTTTACATCTGTGTTTTATTATTAGATTAGATCAAATATCAAACTGAAATTTTACTAAGTATAGATAATGATAAAATAGCAATTCGGACCATTTCCTTAGTTTTCGTCCTTGTAACTTAAATTAATTTCATATAATTTACCAGTTTTATATAATCATTTTGATATTCATATGATTCGTCAATTCCATTTCTTCTATTAGCTAATTACAGAGAGCACTTCCCAAGCTGGATATCAAGACACGAGAGACGACTGCTCCTATCGACATCAATGGCAAGAGCCATGGCCAACCTCGTGGTGGCTCGTGACGGCTCGGGCCATTTCCGGTCGATACAGGCAGCGATTAACGTGGCGGCTCGTAGACGGAGCATGGCCAAGAGATTCGTGATTTATATAAAGAAAGGAGTTTACAGAGAGAACATCGAAGTCGGTAACGACAACGACAACGTCATGCTTGTCGGCGACGGAGCTCGAACCACCATTGTCACCAGTGGTCGTAGTGTCAGAAATGGCTACACTACCTATAATTCTGCTACCGGCGGTGAGTATTTTGTATATATTATAAAATATATTGTATATATCTATCAGTATATATTCATACTCTATAATCTCTTTTATTATTTTTAAGATATCTTGTTTATATATTTATACGTGTTCTCTATGTCTAATTAAGATTCTCTTATTCATTTCCTAAAGATATTGTATGATGGGTTTTCATTTCCTTTTTTTTCATACCTTCTTTTTGATTCGAAGGCTTTGGAGGCCTCCGAGTGATAGCCAAGGACATGACGTTCATCAACACGGCCGGACCACTGCGGGGCCAAGCCGTGGCGGTCCGATCATCATCCGACCTGGCGGTCTTCTACCGAGTAGGCATCCACGGATACCAAGACACACTCTACATCCACTCCCAACGCCAGTTCTTCAGGGAATGTTACATCTCAGGCACCATAGACTTCATCTTCGGGAACGCGGCAGTCGTCTTCCAGAACTGCATGATATTGGTCCGACGTCCACTCAGAGGCCAAGCCAACGTGATCACGGCCCAAGCCAGAGGCGACCCTTTTCAGAACACTGGCATTACCATCCACAGCTCGAGGATAATGGCGGCTTCAGACCTCAGGCCGGTGGTTCGAGCCTACAAGACCTACTTCGGACGTCCATGGCAGGCTTATTCCCGTGTCACCATCTTGAAGAGTTACATCGACAATTGCATCAGTCCCTTGGGCTGGTCTCCTTGGTTAAGGGGATCAAATTTTGCCCTCGATACAGTTTTCTACGGAGAGTACAAGAATTTCGGCCCGGGTTCTTCCACGAGGTGGAGAGTCCGGTGGAAAGGGTTTCACGACATAACCAGCCCCGTTGTAGCCTCGAGGTTCACCGTCGGAAGCCTCATAGCCGGTGGCTCGTGGCTGGCCGCCACCGGAGTTCCCTTCAAGTCAGGGCTCTGAGCAGTGTTTGTGTGTGCGTTTATCCTTATTTATTTATTACTGATTGATTGATTTTTATTGTTTTCCCGAGCTGTATAAGACACATGATTAATCTTTTATACAAATCAATTTCACACTTACTTTACATAAACCATGCAGTGAATCTATTATGAGGTCACAAAAAATGGGTTTTGTCCATTTCAAAAAAAAAATGTGAAGTACTTCACTTTACTCTTCTGAATCTTAAAGCCCATCAATATCACAAGATGCCGGATGGATGGGCATTGGACATATTATGCTGTTCAACTGAAAAATCTGGAACTTTATGTCTTGATGGAGTCAAAGCTGGTAAGAATACTGAGTTTGGTCCCAGTGTCCTAAGATCTGTCCAGCCAAGAAAAAACTGAGGAATAAAGAACAGATGGATATGAAGCAAAACAGGAAACAAAGAGAGATGAAATATACTTTCGGCATGTTCCAGCTTCAGCTTCGGGTCCAGTCCCGCTCTGACTGTCAAAGCCTGTCTCAACGAGTAAAAACTTGTGACGATCTCACTGGCAGACATTGGCCTTACTTCCTTTCCCAGTTGTCATTTATGAACACTACAAAAGTGTTGAGCATGAACATGCTCCACCAACTTCTCAGTCTCTCTGCAACTGCAGACATATAAGAGCAACTTGTGTGAGTTGGATTCAAGATTCCAGGAAAGCAAAAGCTAATCCAACCGAGTTAAGCAACACAACCTGTAGTCAAAGCCAAAAACATGAAAACACGGAAAGTTCTCTCGAGTTGAGTGATTGATTACCTGAACATTCCTTTTCAAGCACGGAATACAATATACAACACATGTACATTTATGTACAGGCATATGTCTGGAAATTACTTCCCCTTGGTTCAGTCGGGACAGGAAGGCAAAAGCTGGACTTTGGTACTCGCTTGGAGCCTCAAAAGAAACGGGTTTGCATCGATGAGGAAACATGAGATGGACCTGACTGCTAGAAGCGGAGCATAAACTTTCCAGTTCTCTGCAAGAAATTAACCTTGGATCATCAGATAAGCAGTCCATTCATCCCAGTGGAGTTTGATGAGACTATAAATCAATGAAGAGATTGGCAAAAAGGACAAATAAACAAAAGAGAGGCATACCATTCTGCTATATATCTATTACCGGAACAGTAGGAGTTACATCTCATCTGCAAAGCTGGACCGAATTATTTGCCTTTGCCAATGCCCATTTCGTCCACTTCAAAGGAGCTCTTCCACATCGATCCATCGCACAGTACAAATCACGGACCTCATCAAACTTCTTCTCCTCGCACAAGATGCAAAACAACCAGTTTTGGCTGAATGAACTCGGCTGCATATTGAGAACAAGCATGTCCTTTTGCATTTCAAGGGCCGCGCTGGACAGCCCAGAGGCACAAAGACAACGGAGTAACATTTCATAGGAGACCTTGTCTGGATAAAACCCCCTCTTCTGCATCGTGTACACTAAGGTTAGGGCATCATCAGGTCTGATAGCATCACAGAGACCCCTAAGCAGAGTTTTATACATAACTTTGTCTGGCTTGCAAATGATGCCACTCGTTCGGTTAAACAACGCAATAGCATAATCGATCTCTTGAGACTTAATGTGACCTTTCATCAGAACAGTGAACGTGACCTGATTTGGATCTATCCCTTTACTTTTCATTGATTCTAGATGATTATAGGCTTCGTCCATCTTTCCAACCGCGCAAAATCCATAAATAATTGAATTGTAGAGGTATAAACTCGGTGTAAATCCAGAATCTTTCACCTCTTCTATCAACTTCAAGGCAAAGCACTTCATAGAACGGGGCAGTAATATGCTTCCATGTGATACGGGACTCGTGTGGAGTTGTCGAAGAAGTCTTTCTTTGCACTCCTCAGATTCTGGACTTGTGGCATCTGATTTTCTTCTCCCATATGCCATAGCCCTACAAATACCAGAGAGCAAGGTGATGTATGTAACAAGATCCCATTCAATTTGGTTTTTCACCATTAAGTCAACTAATCGAAAGGAGAATTTGATATCTCCCTTCTTGAAGAAATGACCGATAAGTGAAGTATATAGCACTCTGTCCGGATAAAACCCATCTCTCAACATCTTATCAAGATACAAACACCCAATGTCAGTCATGCCTTTCTCCATGAAATCACTGATCAATTTTGTGTAGGCATAAGGGTTATGGATAGCCGAACGATTCACCATTTCTTCAGACAATCCATGTGCTCCTTTAATGTTTTTATTTCTGGCATAAGCATGGATCATAGTCTGATAAGCAATCTCATCGGGTTTAATGCCCGACTTAAGCATCCTCAGAAATGTGTTTTCGGCTTCAACAACTCTTCCATCTCTACCTAACGAACCAATTATCGGAGTATAAATTTCTACTGTAGGGCTTAACCCTGAATCCTCCATTTCAACCACTAGATCAAAGGCAGAGTCAATATCACCTCTCCTGCAATACTCATTCACCATTACAAGATAAGTAACATGGTCAGGAACAATGCCCCCTTCTCGCATACTATTAATCAATGACTCAGAATCCTCGAACCGCCCATCTTGACACAGAGACCTGATCAAAGAATTGAATGAGAAAAGCAAGGGTCTAAATCCCAGACTCACCATCTTATTCACATAGTCTAAAGCAGAATCAGGATTTCTTTGTGCACATAAAGCAGTTGTGACGATTGCAAATCCTGAAACAGCTAAATCTGCATCTCGTTCAGCAATAATCAAAAGTAAAGAGTCAACCTTTGATTCAATATCTTCAAGATCATTAAGAATTGGTGAGGGGTCAATCCCGCACCCATTTTTGACAATAGCCTGTAAATTCATGAGAGCAAACTCTAGCTCACGCCCTTTTGGGATCATCTTTAAGAGGATAACAAACAGAATATGGTCAGGTACCCCATTTTCCAATAAGCTTGTATACAACTCATCGACTTCATCCACTCGATTCTTATGCAAAAGAGCGGCGATAATACTCGTGTAACAATGCACATTGGGAGCTACATCCTTTTTTACCATGTCTTCAAGAACCATAAGAGCATAGTCTACATTCCCTTCCTCGCAATAGCTCCTGATCATTGAATGGTACGTGAACACGGTCGGGTGCATGCCCTTTTCCATCATCTGATTACAAATTACCTGTGCCTTATCAAAGAGACCCACTTTTGCAAACCCGTGATTCAACGTGTTGAAGACATACTGATCAGGTTCACAACCTTTCTTCAGCATCCGAAAGTACACCCGCATCGCCATTGTCATATTCTTATCTTTGCAATATCCTTTTATCAGACAAGTGTACATCACCTTGTCAACATAGTAGCCATCATATTCCATTTGATCAAACAGCGCCTCAGCCTCTATAGCACATCCTATTCTGCAAAGGCCGTAAAAGTAGGACTTGTACATATTAAGCGGCAGACGTGCTCCTGCTATTTCACATAGCGGATTTAACATCTCACTCGCCTCGTCCAAGTGACCTTGATAACACAACCCCTTAAACAGTTTCTTACAACACCAAAGGCTTAACCTAACACCCTTTTCGTACAACCGAACAATGCGGTCAAAAGCCTCCAAAAACCGATCTTGCTCTAAAAGCCCTTCAAGTATCAAGCTACAAGCATGTTGGCTCGGAACACAACCAGAGTCCAGAATCCTATCGAAATGGTCCCTAGCTTCATCAAATTTCCCTAATTTAATCAGACAAATAACCATTGGATCCAAAATCCAGACATCAGGAACGATATCATTACCGATTACAGTTCCACGGTAGACCGCTTCAGCCAATTCAGGCCGACCCAACTGCGTAAGCTTCCTTATCAACGCGCCGAAGGAACCTGAATCAAGTCCTATCCCACTCTCGATTGCAAAATCGACAGCTGAAGCTGCCTCCGAGGCAGAAAAGCATAAACTCATAAGACGGCCAGTAACTTTCCGAGCATCGTTCACGAGACCACGTTGGACGAGCCCTTTCACCAAGGACATACAGTGGGAGAATTGATTGTATGGAGCGGTGGAGACTTCAGCCTCCGACAAAACCGCAGCGGAGGTGGTCGGGGGCGGCTCCAACGGGAGAGTACAAGTCGTTGCCCTTCTGGAGTTCCGTAGTAGAACTGAAGTCTTCCTCAAGAATTTCCCAAAATCGAAGACAATCATCGAATTGAATGTGTGCGTGAATGAAAATTTTCAAATTCACAAAGAAGAAGATGGTACAACAAGAACCATTCTCCCGGAAAATCTTTGCCCATACGTCGAAAGGGTGCGAATAAAGGATGACAATCGATTGTAAGTAAAACCCTCAAACAGGGTTTAAGAATCGAACCGGTGATTTTGATCGAGTCTCTTGAACCAAACCGGTCATGAAATCGTACCCCATTTAACGGTACAATTAATTTCATTTCTCTCTTTTTTTATTTGAAATTTACTATATTATTATTAACCCAATCCATTACCTTTCGATTTAAAGCCCATATGGAGCCCATTGGAGCCCATTTTATTTAAAAACAAAATAAATGAAAAATGAAACTTTTGTAGCATCATTATACTCCCCTGGTAATTAATTAAACATTAATAATCTTGACTCATTTTTCTCAGTATTTTGGTGAATTTGTAAATATCATGCACTTTTTTTCTCTAAATAAAATATGTGTGTGTATGCATGTGTATCACCAATATATGATAATTTTGTGTTCTTCTCCAAATAAATATATTAATAATCATTTATTAACGAATTTTACGGATGATCTGAAATTATATCCGGTGCTAAATTTTAAAAGTTCAAATTAATATAGATAACGTATGAAACATATTCACTCATTTGGTTGACAGAAATGGATTCAATTTCCATGAGTTTCAATCTAACACATGAAAAGAGTCTTTAAATCATTAGCTAGTATCCTTTATTTGTTCGTATTTCGCATTCATATGATTAATAGCTATAATACCATATTATTATTACGATGCTAAAAGTGAACGGTAAATATATTAATATATAAATATATAATATTGAAATGAAATGAAAGTGATTACTGTCTATAATAATTTAGAATTAGGTGGGAACGTTGACAAATTTGGGGAGGAAGCGTATTTATTTGGCACTAGAAAAAAAGACATAATAATAATGATAATAATTATTGATAATTATACCCTTGTTTGAGGTTATAATATGATTAGAATTAAAAGGACTCTAGCGCACGGGTGCGTTTTGGTGTCGTAAATCTCTCCATGTGTTGAAATGATTACAAAATATGATGTGTGTATTAATATTCGTTGTTTTATACCTTAATTTTTTTTGTATATTTAGGCGTACATCTAAAAAGTTACAGAGTAAAAAAGACAAAACAAAATTTAAGAGAACAATGTAGTACATAATATCTTTATTATAATTATTAGCCAAATTATAGGGGGGATTATATCCATTGGGGAAAATTAATCCACTAAGCCATAGGACTGGGATGCATCATATGGTAATACAAAACAAAAATAATAAAATATCATACCATAAAATGTTTTTCTTTATAAAATAAAACAAAATAGGAATCATTACCAAAAAAAACAAATAGGGACTCTATTAATCATCAATATAAGTTCCTTTGTATATAATCTTCTTGAGGTATTTGCATGGATCTTTGTCCACATTTAACCATCGTGAGTGGAAAAAATCACATTTATGGTATCGTATGGTTATTAATTTACGTATTATTAGGTGATACATTTTTGCAGTTTTTTTATTAAAAAAGTTTCTGTATTTTATTTGTTAGGAAATTAATTTATAAGTAATAGTATTTAGTATTTAGTAAAATTTTCAATATAAACTTCAAAATTATTGGGCATGACGAACTATGTCTGCCTACTACAATTAAATGTATTTCGAAAAACAAAAACATTTAACTGTTCGTTAGAATGACAAAGTAAAAATGATTTCAGCAGATATTGGGTGGGACCCTTTCTTGATCTTTAATCCAACTATCTTCAAACCCCAAAATTATGGTAATTTAATATATATATATATATATATATATATTGTGTATGCGAATGATTACGAAGCATTCTTTACCGTGAAGATATATTTAGTCATTATATATTTCTTATTACATACACACGCGTACACATATGCATATGAATATGCAAGTATACATATCTATATTTTTACAGTTACAGTTTAGTTAATTAACCAATGAAAAAACAAACACAAACACGCAGTCCAATTTTTTTTATCTTTAATTAAATTCAGCATATGTTCCACAATCTTCGGACATAATATTTTTTCCATCAAATATTAAAACTTTAAAAATTATCTATAGTCCAATCTTCTCAACCCCATTCCCATTACCTGGCCCGTGGGATGGTCCGCACCTCACGTGATGCACGTGATGGCCCCTGAAAATGTGGGCCCATGCCCCGGCCCAAGATCATTGGTTGCTGGTGGAAAAGCTGAGAGATAATAGTGGCTAAACGGGCCACGCCGGAGCACATTCGGTGGGACCCATTTGCGTTAGCTTCAGCCACAATATAGTATTGGCTCGTAACGGTTGAGCCGGATTTTTCTTTAAACCGTCTTAACCGGATCGGAGGGTACTTGCGGGGGACTGTCGGTTACTGGGCCCCACATTTCCACATTTTGTCCAAATCATAAAAATGGTTCGGAGAGTTACATATATTTTTAGATTTAGTTAATTGAGTTTTAAGTTTTTTAATACTTTTTCCTTAACAAATACGCAGGAAAAATGGGTTACGAAATCCCAATGCACAAGAAAAATATTAGCGAATGATACGTTAATAATAATAAAAGCAAAACGCAACTCTTCGCTGTTTGATTTTTTAGACGTTAATAGTAATAATACGCCTATATATATATATATATATACACACACACACAGACTAAAATCAAAATAAACCAAAAGGATAGTTATAGTGGTGGCAATGCAAGTGGACATAGAGGCGTATTGCTCACGGAGCACACGATATATGAATTATAATTCAATCTCTTTATATATATATATATATATATATATATATATATATATTATCTATATACAGACAATTCACTATCGATTATAGAAGAATGAGAGAACAGGTCTAAACCCTAGGCCATGATGAATCCAAAGGATCGATTGTCCACACACACACACACATGTATATATATATATATATATATCACACTAACCTTTATTTTATATGTATATATATATATATATATAGAAAAAAGAAGTGTAGGTGTTGGGTCGGATATAAATTTGGTAGGGACAAAGGTAGGGCCCAAAGAAGCCGCACCCATTGCACTTTTGGGCTGCGAGGATGTTTCTGTGCCATTACGTCACTACTCACATCACGCCACGATTTTACTTATAATTTGTTGTGTTTTTAAATTGGACAAAAAAATTTACTTTATAATGAATATGAATATGTAATATTTTATATATATAGTCTGAAAATAATACAGAAAAAAAGATGTCTCGTGTCATTCAGAAAGCCGATATAAAGAAAAACTCCTAGAAAAATATTATTTCTTTCTCACACACGATGTACAAACTTGTACAATAATCCAGGTTGAGTGATAGCGATTGTTGTGTATATATATATATATATACAACAACAAAATATTCTTAATAAAATAATAAAAACAAGCATAAAAGGTGAGTCCACAAAAGACAAAACAAAAGTTATTTATTTTTCATCATCTAGGGTTTTTAATTTCTCTCTTATTCATTAGTAATTATCAGCATATGTCGCGTGCGTGTGTATATATATGAAGATTGAAAGCCCGCAATCTCATCGACCATTCCTGAGTTCCTCGGGATTTGATCGGACAAGATTGTTCTTGAGATCACAAGAACGAACACTTCCAGTTCAGTTCCCGAGGTTACGATCCTTCGGTCTCTTTGTCTTCTATATCCTCAAGTAACCCACAAAACAAAGAGAAAATAGTCCGAGTTTTTTTCAAGATTTGGAGAAAGAACGCATATCAGTTCCTCGATGTTTCAGGTAAGATTATTCTCCCTCTCTCTCTCTCTATATATATATATATATATTCAGGTATATACGATTTTGTGTATGTGTCGTGTATATATATGATTTGTGGCTTCGATATGTTTCGTAGATGAAAATAGGGGTTTTAGGTTTTTTTTTCTTCTTGTGTAGGAATTCGGGGTTATAGTTCAAGATGTTCCTAGTTGGCAAAAAACACCGTATGATATATTGTTTTGGATGAAACGATCGAATTGGCTTTTTTTTACATGCATGGATGATCATCATGGTATCTCGTATTGTAATATTTAGGGTTTCATACCAAATACATTTTGTGTGTGTGTGTGTGTGTGTCTATATATATATATAACTTTGCAAATATATTACGAGGGATATAATAAGATATGAGTTGCACCATCATTTTCATTAACGCTTCATCCGGAAAAAAAATGATTATACATGTTTTTATAAGACTAGAGATAATTCACACCATGACGTGCGTGGAAAGATTTAATCGACGTACTTTCACTTGATTACATATCTCCTGCTTGATTTTTGGTATACTGAAAATAATCATGAGCACTCTTATATTTATATATATATAGTTTTAGAGTAATCAATTGCATTATAATGCCTAACTCTATGTAATAATCAGAAGTATATCACTGTTTGTACAATTCATGGGTGCAGGAGAGCATAGAAATGACGGAGATGTTCTTGCATATCCCACCCGGTTACAGATTTCATCCGACCGACGAAGAACTCGTCGATTATTACCTCAGGAAAAAGGTTGCATGTCCTGGAATGGAACTCAACGTCATCAAAGATGTCGATCTCTACAAAATCGAGCCATGGGACATTCAACGTATATATATACACACATATACACCGTTTTTGTGTCAAAAAGCTTTATATATCAAGCAGTACGAGTTTATCGATCATATATGTGTGTATATAACTGAGGTTTTATATACAGAGATATGCGGGAGAGGCAATGGAGAAGAGAGGGAGTGGTATTTCTTCAGCCACAAGGACAAGAAGTATCCGACGGGTACCCGTACTAATAGAGCCACGGCCTCGGGGTTTTGGAAAGCCACGGGACGGGACAAGGCCATATACGCGAAGCACGACTTGATCGGTATGAGGAAGACGCTCGTGTTCTACAAAGGCCGAGCCCCGAACGGACATAAATCCGACTGGATAATGCACGAATACCGCCTCGAGACGGACGAAAACGGTCCACCTCAAGAGGAAGGTTGGGCTGTTTGTCGAGTGTTCAAGAAGAAACCGATCACAACGAGTAACGATTTCAAGAATCGGAGATTGATAAATGTTGGAGATCAAGAATCGTGGTTCACTACTCAAATAAACTCGTCCATGAGATATCATCACCATCTTCCACCTCTTCTGGAAAGCCCTAGAACGTTCCAAGCATCATCATCATCATCGGAAGATGATCATAATAGTACCATCTATGGTATGATACATGGAAGCAGCAATGACCCACCACCACCAAGCACATTGAATAAATATCCTTCGTTTTTGTCCGAAACAGGAGATCAAGATCATGACGTTAATGTTGCCAGTGAGATGATGATGATGATGAACACGAGCAGTGATCATCATCCACTCGTGGATTGGCGAGATCTCGACAAGTTTGTTGCTTCTCAGCTAATGAACCAAGAAGTCGACGAAGAAATCAGCAAAGCGAACGGTTCGGATTCGTCGCAAGAAACATTTCATCGTGTCTCGGACAAGCAAGGAAAGCTTCCATTGAATGCATCTTCTGGATCGTGTCCGCTCTATCCCTGGAAGTGATATATCGCTATATATATATATGTGATATATATACACATAAAGAGCACTCGAAGCTGCGTGTATATGTAAATATACAGAAGCCTATATCCGTACAAGCATGGTACCTCACCGAAGGCTCGCGTTTTACGTGCCATTATTGGGATTCATACACGTGGTAAGGTTAATTATTCATTAAGCAAACCATATATATATATATATATATATATATATATATGTGTGTGTGTGTGTGTGTGTAACTTTGCAATTATCTATACTTTTTAACTTAAGTAATTGGTCGACACTGAAAATGGGAAGCGCACGTGATTAATGAAAGCGGGTTTCATGTAATATACACATGCATCACACAAACAAATAAATCCATGCCGCAATTTCAGTCCTTAAATCTATAAAAGGATGAAAATTCACACACAAAAAACGAAGAGAGACCATATAAGCAACACAGCATAAGCATGTTCGATTACGAGGGTCCATACCAACAAGTGGGAAAATCCAAAAGGATAACAAGACACAGAGACAGACAACTAGTTAGAGAAAGTGACATTAACGAAACAGAACAGAACAGAACAGAACACTCTTCTCTGAAAATGTCGGGTACCAGACATTAAAATCTCACCAGACAGGACGCGACGGTGCCACCATTAAGTGACACTGCTCATTCGTCGGTTTCGAGCATATTGACAATCTGAGTCACGCCCTCCGCTATCTCTTTGCGGATAAGGCTGTCCGGCATGTCGAACGTCCTTCTCTTCAGCGACCCCAAGTTCCCCGCTGGCTGCTGCGGGTCTACCACTTCCAGCATTGCTTCCAGCTCCTCTATCATCGATCTCTTCGCCCCTCTCACCATCACATCAACTCCCTGATAAAATCTCACACCCACATCATTCCAGAGATGTCTCCTTTTTGGAACTCATGACTCGAAATGCTCACATTGAAGAGAGCATGCATGACTATAACATCAAAGAACTGCATATAGTGTGGAAATACCTCGATGGCGTCGACAGTGAGGAGGAGAACGATGATTCTTTCCGAGAATTTCTGGCGCTCCTCTGCATCCCGGCCAATGAGGCGTCGGTAGTTGAAGTTGTGAAAATCAGCTCTTATCTCCTTCAGTTTGGTCTTTGCAACAGCTAGCTCCCGAAGTGCACGCAGGGCTTTGGACCGGCGAATCAGATAAGCTCTAAAGGCCCTCTGTATCATCAGGGCAGCTTCTTCGGGTGCCAATTCCTTCTTCTTCCCCTTCTTGCTCCTAACCGCTCCCGTTCTTTTGGCAAACGCCTTTTTCCCGCCACCATTAAAGGCACAAAAAACAACATATCAAGGTCTCAAAGGGAAGTACAAATGAGGATATTACTAGGCAATATAGAAGCCCCTTTCAGAAATTCTTTTAATTTGATAGGATGGATCAAGAAAGCACGGTGAAGGAAGCCTTTCAAGAACATATTACTCCTACAAGTGAAGTGAACAAGGGATTTGCTCCGTTATCTTAGCTAACTCCGCAAATGCTGTCAGAGCATCTAAGTCTACACTCCAATTAGGATCACACTATCACAAAGAAAAATGCAACTTCGGCAGGCACTAAACCCCGGATAGCCAAAAATAACTTGATTCATATAAGCAAACGGAGAATGACCCGAAGCAGGATTTCAAAAACCGAAACAGCATAATATACAGCAAAAGAATGCATTTGAAGATCTTGCCACACAAAAGTAGGCGGATGCTGTTGAAACAAGCCCTCACACGATAACATCAACCAAGAAAAACAACTTACATAACTAACATAATTAAAATGCAGGAGGGTCCTTCACTACGACACATCGAAATGAGACATTTTTTGGGCTTGAACTTATTCTCATGGTGAAATAGCTTATTTCCCTCAACTAAACTTAACTAGCAGAATCAGCTTCATCACTATTTTACTCGAACATTGTGTAAAAATCAAAACTTCAGGCTCATCCCCAGATTCTTACAACCTGTATTGAAACTATCTACGGCTACAAAGTCTCACATCTATCGGATGGAATCGCTATCAAATTTCCACAGGACAAGCAAGCGAGAAGTATGACTTATTCACATTCAGATGCATGTAACCTATCAGTAGAAAAGAAAAGGTCGGAACTTGGAATTAGCTCAACGCATTGCACGAATATGGAATCTGTCACGGGGCGAAATGGTAAGACTGACGGTACCTTCCTGAGAACGACGGCTCCATGGTTGTCTTGCTCATCTTCTTCCTCGATCACCACCACACGCGTTTTCTCCTTCTTCTTGCTCTTCTTCTCTTTCTTCTCCTTCCCCGAGTTCTCTGCGTCCCCGCCATTAGAAGCCTTGACCGACTTTATCTCCGCCGTCCATTTGTAGTCCCTCTTCTTCTTCTCCGCCGCCGCCGCCTTCGTCTTCCTCACGACCACAAACTCGCGCTCAGTATCCTTTTTCCCGCCCTTAACCTCCGCCGTCCACTTGTACTTCCTCTCCGCCGGGCCCTCGATCTCCGCCTCCCACCTGTACTTCCGCTCCGACGCAGCGCCGCCGAGATCCGCCTCCCACTTGTACTTCCTCTCCGGCGGACCATTGATCTCCGCCTCCCACCGGTACTTCCGCTCCGACGCAGCGCCGCCGAGATCCGCCTCCCATTTGTACTTCCTCTCCGACGGACCATCGAACTCCGCCTCCCATTTGTACTTCCGCTCCCCAGAACCCTTGATCTCCTTCGTCAACTTGTACTTCCGGTCACAGTCGGAGATCCCGGGGCTGACCAACCGGTCAAACTTGCATTCCAGAGCAGAAACCCGGTCGCAGAGGTAGTGCAATGGAAGCTCCGGCTCCAATCTCCGGGAAATCCTCTGGTACGTGCAGCGCGCCGGAGTTTTGTCGACCCGGACCAGATCGGCGACGTCGTCGAATAGATCATGCGGGCTAGGGTTAGCGAAATCGAGACAGAGGCCGAGATCGTCAACTTCAACGAGGGAAGGAAACCCTAGAAATGGCGGTTCCTCAAAGGGGGTTTCACGGAAAAGGAGAGGAGAGGAGTAAAAGGGCTGGAAGACGTCGATCCTGCGGGGCCAGCTCATGGTATGATCCGAAGATGGGTGTGGTTTTGGTCGAATCGGGACTGCGAACTCAATGAGTCGTGGCGAGTCGAAGCTATGGAAGAGAATGACTGATGACGAGTGTTAAAAATAGAGCACTTTGGATTCGTAAAAGGGGCAGGCTTTTAGATCGATGGAAAAGAAAGAAGAAGATGACAAAGTTGGGAACTTTACGAGGAGAGAGAGGGAAAGGGACGAACGGTCAAAAAGGTTGTTCCTCGGGGTAATTTTGGAATTGGCCGTGAAACCATGATTTTGTAAAATTTTATCTATTATAAAAAAAATCACGTTTCTGGTTAAAAAATTAATATTTATGATAGTAAGAAAATGTCAGAACTTATTTTTTAAAGAAATTAAAGTTCAAATTAAAATGTCAATTTGGTGTGGAATTAATGAGGCGCTCAATTCATGAATTTTTTTTAATTGAGTTGGATTGTTTGATTTGCTAATTTGGTATATTTATTACTTTTATATAGATAGTAGAACGTGTAATAGAATCTCATATAACCAAAACAAACAAATAAATAAGAGAGCAGTTGTCATGACATTAATGACAACAACCAAAACGAAATATTCGGCAGGATAATTACGTCATTTTCGAACATGTAGACGCTTTGGTTGGTTAATGTAGATAAAATGGAAAATTCCAATGGGCTCAACAAAAATAAAGGATGTAGAGATAGCGAAAGGACGAAAAAGTCCCTGCGGGACTTAGATATTACGCCGACAAGAGAATCTTTCGATGGGATTACAACCTGGCAAAGATGGCACGTGGATTTCAGGCAGTGTTCATGGGCCCACGAGACAAAACCCTTTGTGTATTTATTGGGCTTCAATCCAATAACAACGAAAACTTAGATTATAACACATGCCCTCCTAGGTCAGGCTCATGCACCGTCAATCATGCTGACGTGTATTGAATCGCGTTAACGTAATCATTGGGCTTGATTAGGCATATTGAGCTTAATTGGGCCCAGTCCTCAACCAAACTTATAATGGTTTCATTCTGCTTATATTTTCATTAAAAAAATAATTATAAGCATATGATAAAAAGGGAAATCTCTTATCAATGAATTCAAGTGGCAGCTTACTAGTTTTTTTGTAAAGTTGGGAAAACTAACAAAAAGACGCCGACGTTTCCGTTGCGTCTGCCGAGGCTTTGCCTGTTTTTCTTTTCTTTTTCGTTTTTTTTTATAAATATTTCACTTTTAATTTCATAACAATTAAAAAATCTATAATATATATTTAACACGTCCGATTAGGGATAGTTACCATACAAGTATCTAAAAATATTTACGGCGTTCTGATTTGCATTTCAATCTTTTGGATATTACTGTGTAAAAATCTGAAAAAAATAATTAAATATTATTTTATAAAGTTTAATAAATATATTTGATATTTTATCATTAATATAATAATAATAATTTTTATTTTAAAAAATGAAAAGAAATTTATATAATATTTAGTAAATATAAATTGTATTTTTTATAATTATATAGGCTCTATTTAATTATATATGTACTTGAAATATTGTGATTTGAATCCGATTTAGTGATAATCTCTATTTACATCCACAAAAACTAGAATTCAAGGTATTTATGAAAGGATAATTTGAGCCGTTTAACTAAATTGCGTCCACTTTTTATAAAATCGAAATTCATGAAACAAATCTATGTAAGCTGACCAATTAGATACATACATATACTGTATATTGTATATATGTGTCTTTTTGGAAATTTTTAAATTTTAATATTTATTTAAAGGAAACATGTAATGGGATCTGATTCACCAGTGATTAATAAAAGATGCTAATCTACGTATAGTGATTACAAAGCTAATCAATTTAATTAAACTGTGGTCCTAACAATAAAGGTATTAATTAATATAACACGTCATCTGAGGCGATCAAAAGAATCAAATGCTGCGGTCTAGAATGACCATGAAGATAGTGGTTAATCAAGGTTTGTGGTCCTTAACCTTTCTTAGAAACATATATTAATATTTTAAAATTCATATCTCGATGGTTAATCAGGTGCTGTTTAATACTTTATTAAGCTAATGGGCTTACATCATTTCCATGACTTTGCTATACACGCATATATGTATATATTATTCAAATGTAGGCATAATGGAAGTCGTCATCTTGCCGACCAGAGGTGGTATGACAATATAATAATCCTTTACGTATTGGGTTCTCGAGTAATTGGAATGTACATTCGAAAACATAAACGTATTTATAGTATATATTTTACATAGTTTATGTTTATTAAAAAGCATCGGAACACATGAACGCAACGTATTTGTATACTTTTTTTTAATAATAGTTTTATTATATATATTTCATTGACTTAAAAGCGTTTTTAGAGGATGGCTAATTTATAATGATTGGAACAAAATAATCGAAATCGATTCTAATAAATCTCAATGATATGGTACGCTGAATAATGTGTGTGGTGGGGTCAGGCGGGGACACCAATTTATTTAAAAAAATATTATTCTATTTGATATTTCGAAAATTTACATGAATTTCCAACTTGCCTTAAATCCTGGTGTGTTTTAAAGAATCATTGCAATTCGTAAACCATTATTCCATTTTCTATCTATCAACTTATTTATTTGTTTGTGTAAGTGTATTTAACTTTAGATATCCAACACAACTTGCCTGCAAATTAAGTAATGTAAAATTATAGATTTTTGTTTTTCCATAGTATTCTAATGGTCAATTTTAATTATAGACATATCATAAATAAATTTCAATATTTAAATCATTCGTTTACTTGAACGAAATGAATTTTCATAGAAGAATTTAAAAAAGCGATAATTTAACTCTAAAAGTTGGATAGTGAAACAAGAAAAAGAGTACCGCTAATCACACAAGGGCCAAGTTGCATGTCAAGTTGTTTGTCAGTTTTCATAATGCAATTTTGTTTTGTTTTTTTTTTTGCCAAAATTGCATACCAAATCATCAAACTCATTTTTTTTAAAGACGTTTGTGCAGAAAAAAAAAACTTTTTCTTTGATAATTTCACGGCCTAAATCGACAAATACATATTACATATATATATATATATTACAACACAATCTCTGTACTAAAAAAAATCATAACCCAAAAGTCACGGTCACGGTGGGTCACACTTCAAGCACGTGACCCAGATCCGCCGGGGACCTACATCCCTCCGGTGAAGCCGACGTTGACTCCGGTCGTGACTCGGCGATCTTCTCGGCTACTTCCACCCTAACAAGCCTCGTCAGCAACAGTCCCGCCACGAGCGCCGATCCCATCAGCATCGTGAAAACGGCGCTCCAGCTCCTGGACGAGATGTAGCCGGTGAGCAACGGACCCACGGCGGCTCCGACGGAACCCGTCCCGTCGATAATGGCGGTCACCGTCGCAAGTGCTCGTGAGTTTCCTTTCAACGAGCTGTGAGTACCGAGGTCGGCCGACACTGCCGTCGTGATCAGCGCGTACGGTCCGTTCACGAACATGCCCGTTAGGAACATGAGTGCTGCGTTCGCGGTTAGAGAGACATGCCCGTAGCTCCGGTAGAAAAAAAGGGCCGGAATCGCACCGTACATGAAGCTGGCCGCGGTTATTGCCCTTGCTCCTAGGTGGTCGGAGATGTATCCGGCTAGGATTCCTCCGACCACACCTCCGACGTCGAATAACGTCGACAGGTTTCCGGCCGTTTCGTCAGATAAGTACTGCCCGTTGATCGCTGGAAAGATCATTCGAAAATGTCAGAAGAAATCGAACTGATAAACATAAACAGGTAGACGGATTTGATCTGAAGTTAAACCAATCACCTGTGTGGCTGACGTAAAACGGGAGCCAGTAGAGGAAAGTGTACGCGACCAATTTGGCGAAAAAGAGGCAGAGAGCGAAAGGGGCGACGCCGGGAATTCTCCAGGCTTCGAGGAATCCGACGGCTCTTTTCTTGGTATCAGTATCTGAATCCGACGAACTCAAGAGAGGCTCGTTTATAAATTCTCCGATTTTCTCAAACGAGCTGGAATCATCCTCGTCTTTCTCCGCCCCTACTGATTCTGGATTTACAGGCAAGAAAGCAAAATTCACCAACCCGATAAACACGATTAAGATACCGGGAATCATGAACGACCATCCCCAGCCGTATCTTAACATCGCCGCAGCAATCAACGATCCCATGATGTTTCCGACCGATGTGTGCGCGTTCCATATGCCCATAATCAGACCCCTCTTCTTCTTAGTAAACCAGTTTCCGACAACAGCCACCACCGAGGGCCAACCGGTCGACTGAAACAATCCGGCGAGCATTTGAACGAACAGGAAGTAGTAAAAGCTGTGGATGTTGGCCCAGTATCCGACACCAAAGAGCGAGGTAAACAAACCGGTTCCTAACATCCCGATTGTCAGAAAGATTCTCAAGTTCATCCTGTCTCCCAAATGTCCAGCGAAATACATCCCGAAGGCGTAAATCGCGAGGAACGCGACATCGATCTCCCCAAGTAAGACCGTGCCATCGGGTCCATTAAACGGAGCCCAACCTCCTCCGTTCTTGCCGGGAGTTCGGAGGTAATTCAACCTCAGGAGGAACGATGTCAATCCTGTCTCGGAGGACTGAGGATCGAGCGTGCTCTTCACAATGCTGGTGGTTTTCCTCGTGGCGTGATAGCTCGTGTAGGCGAGAAACGTCACGAGCAAGACGATTGCACGGTACGCGTTGTACGAAAGCTTGGAACCCTTTACGTGCTCCAAGAACCGGATTCCGACAGGCTTGGTTTCGCTCTCCGGCGCCGGTTGAAACGCGGAACCCATGTAGAGGAGACGATCGAAACAGAGACTGAGTCTTGGAACACAGTGATCTGCAAAGACAGGACATGAACGAGTTTAACAACAGATGCAAGAGTAGTTAAATACTGATACAGAATTATATGTATGTATCCTCTGGGATCACGAAGAGTTATATTCCTCGGAATCGCGAAACGTGTGGTTGCCACAGAGACTTCACATTTAAAAAAGATTTTAGGAGAAAAAAATTCGGACGACAATCGCAATCAACGACTGGGTATGCTCTTTGAGGAATCTAATTTCGATTTTCCCGGACTTAATTTCTAATCTTCACCCTTAACGAATTCAGATTCGTTACCGAATCATTTCGAACTCGTAAGTTTGTGCGAGACTGTAATCCAAATTCAAGTCGATACGGGAAAAAAAAGGGAGAGAAAACAGAGCACAGAATCGGAATATTCATCGGCGGTAAGAAGAAAGAAGCCCAGAAAATTCATCGAAGCATCAAATCCAGAAAATATTTACGACTTGTGATTCGATTATGCTTTTGTTTAATTGATTAACAAAACCATCAACGAACAGTTCTAATCAGATTTCAGAATAATAGAAAGCTGACTACGATTTGAATTAACAGCAATGATTCCGCGTACCTTCACGAAGATGAAGGAGATCTAACGACAGAGACGCACGTATGATGAATCTTAAGAGACATGGAAAAAAATCTTTGAAACTTCATTCTTAATTGCTTACACAATCCGAAGAATATTCCATCGGACAAAAAAATATCCCCCCAGAAAAAAATGGAAGAAAACTTCAAACAGATTTGACCGGGTAGCAGGAAAATTCAAAACTCAATGAAGAACACAAAAAAGGGAAAAGACAGCGATTACTTACCCCTTTGTCAAGCTCTGAAGCTTCTTCTCTCAAGGAGCAAAGCGCTTGCTTCCTTATCTTTCTTTTCTCTCTCTCTATTTCTCTCGCGGTGATTCTCGAGCTTTCTCTCTCTAGAAACTGAAAATCTGGAAGAAAATTTTTCGGTTGCTTAAAGAAGCGAGAAACGCTTTGACACGCTTTGGACCTCCAAGCAACGGGCAATGTTTTATAGCTCCGAGCTCAACGTCGATGGATGATGCAATTAACAATTCATTTTTATTTGAAGTTCCTCAGAATTTACACTTTTACCCTCCATCCCAATCTTTACCATGCCCCATCGATTTACCATTTTTGCCCTTCGTATTTTTTTTAAAAAAAAGAAAGATTGTACGATCAAAGATAATATAAATATCTGTGAAATCACGATGTGCACTGCATATCCTTTTCATTCCTCCCGACGATAATATAATTAAATAAATAATATTTAACTTATTAAACGACAATTTTTTTTACAGCATTTATTGAGCTTTATGGAAGTTAATATTCAATTATTATACCAAAAAAAAGAGTTAATATTCAATTAAAAATATTAAAACGATTGGACATCCGTGTACCCGATCACGTGAAACAGGCAATAATGAAGATCATATATATAGAAAAAAATAATGCAATAAAAATACATGAAAAGTATATCTACCTATTGAGACTTCATTAATGGAAATATTATATATATCTTGAAAACGATATATTATTGTAATGGAGAATAAGCTGGGAATTTGCGTTAGGTATATATATTTGACTTTTTTTTTTAAGTTATGCTTTTCGTTTTCATTTGCTGCTAATAATCACAATTATATGCCCTCCTGAATTGGACAAACATAAAATATTAAATATCATTATTCCTAGCATTTCCATTACTGAGATCAGTATCTCGTTCCAAACAAATTTTAGTTCAGAGTAACGTGGATTAGAAACAGGGTAACAATATACATACACTCAATTTATCAAAAAATGAATTTAAAATTTTAATTATTCACAATTCTTAAATATACGCATCTCTTTAATAATTAAAACGTGGAACAAAATTTATTTTTTTAAAAAAATCTATTTATAGAAAAATGATAAAAGCTTTATAAAAATGTCTAAAACCGTAATTTTATTAATTTATGGCTCTCTAACTCAATTTAGAATATGTTAAACATTGAAGTTATGATCGAAAATTTTAAATAATAAAGAATGATTTTTTTATACTTTTGTAAATATTGAAATTTATTTGGATTAATAATTAAGTGATCTAGCTAATTATATATTATTTTATAATATGCTTATGTATTTATAATGCACTATATTTAGGATATGATAATTTAACCAAAAATATAATTTTAAATGTTTTTGTAAATTTGTATTTTTATTTTATTTTTTCATTTTATCTAATGATTTGAGTTTTAAAACGGACTTTTTATTTTTATTTTTTATTAAATATTTAAAATAGAATGGAAAAAGAACGATAACCGGTATACATGTTCGGTTTGACGTACCAAACCGAAACTCACTAGCATAATAATTACAGACGTCAGATAGGATGCAACTCATCCAACGGTGGCAGAGGCGTCTGCACACGTGGCACTCATTTTCTCGAGATTCTGAAAAGACGCATCACAAGGGTATTTTCGTGAAACCGCATAAAGTTCGCGGGGCCCGGTCACAGCTTCACCGTAATTTCCAAAAGAAGCCAGGGGTAATTACGTCACTGTGAAATTATAGGTCAAGAAAGCGCGCGTGAGCAATAAGACGGAGGGCATATTCGCATATGCCGAGGGAATTATCCCAAACGTGCAGCGTATATGCTCTGAAAACATTCGGGCCCATTGTTTGCCACGTGTAAGTACGGAAATCATGACATGGCAGAAGTAGTGGATATTGGTTTAAGGATTCTCGATGACGTCAGACTCCACCGCCGACGTGGCGACCCGGGGTGCTCGTCCTCCAGGAACTGATTATAAAATAGGATTATATATCAGGCGCTATTAATATAAAGATACAATTTCAAATTATGTATTAACTACAAATTATATATTGTAAAACAAGAATACATTTTATATGCATAATTGATTTAATTTAATGCTCAAATTCAAAATGTAAACTAATTTTTGGATGGGAAAATGACTTTGCAAAAAAAAAATGTCATATCTTGTGGACAGTGTCTACCGAGTCAGGCCCAAGCTCGTTCACACTTCACAATGGTGGCCCAAAATTGAACGGACAGTGACGAACAGCCACGTGGACAGGTTACACGTGGGGCCCATCTATTATTCTATTATTAATATCATAAACTATATGGGTTTGGCAGTATGTAAATGTAAATTACTAATTAATTTCGTGTCTCCATGTAAAAATAGCACATGAAATGATTAATTAACAAAATTCATCGAATTAATAAACCGACAACTCTTACAAAACATTTCAAATTTATTACGAGGTACATCCGCCGAAAGACGAGACCGATATCTTATTCCAAATTCAGGGATGTACAGTTGAAATAATTCTAAAGCAAAATTCCGAGCATGGCATATCCATAACAATAAAAAAAGAGACGGATAAAATCATTATTACGTGAGTAAAATAGACTATGTATGTATGTATGTATGTATGTATGTATGGGAAGGGTATCGATTCATACTTCCAAATATGGACACAAGAAGATTGAAGATAAGGTTTTATGGGTTTTATTTATTATTTTGGATTCATATGATTATATTATTATTTTTATATTTATGGAGGGATTTGCCAGTGTCGATGTGTCCTTCAACGTGACCCTTCGATTCGAAGGTTCTGTTGTTTTTATATAGATACTGACTGATATCATGTGTACTCTACTGTCTTCGCGACATTTCTTCCTTGGTTTATCTATATTATATGGTTTTCATGCATAAATATTTAGAAATGGTTGTCAATATATATATATATATATA